GAATTTGCGGCACTTATGAAGTAAGTGCACGCTAAGTACAACAATGAACATTGTTTCCTGTATTGTTGTTCACTGTTAGATGGCCCATGCCAAGTAGGGGACACTTTCGTGTGATTACGGGAGCGTTTACCTATTTTGAGCAGACGTACGGCATGTTAATGGCAGCGAATTTTGTACTGCCTTTCACAAGAATTATATAACAATCCTTTAGTTGTGGATTTTTATCTAATGGCGCATTTCGTTCCCATTCTTGCACCACGGCGTTGACAATGCGCAGAATGCGATGGAGAATTTAGTAATTCAACTCATGGAACATTGTAATTCTATGTTGTCGAGAGCTGATACATGGGTTTGCATAATGGTCAACAAATTGTCGCCATGTGTGTGGATTGTTGAATCCAACACTGCGAGGACCATTTCTAAGGGCGGTTGATGTGGGCCGGTTTGCTAGAACGCGGATTTTGGTATTCTCGAATTTAGCGCGTTCCAGCCAATCGAAATGATTCGCTCATGGGGAATTTGACACAATTGTCTGCACTCTGAAGGAAGTGCTTGAACTAAATATTGCATTTTTTCCATTTCTGTCGCATTTGTTGTGAATTAATTAGTGCAGTGAGAGATCTTTGACGATGCCAATTCCTCGTCAGCGGCGGAGAAACTGGGGATGTGGGAGCTCAGGAAGGCCTGACTACGCTTACGCGATTTCCTGTGAATAACGTGGACCCTGTCAAGGTGTAGTTCTCACAATCGCAGAACTTTTTCTTAACAATGCAATTGACTTTAGAATCACTGAGAAATGATCTGTCTTCAAATGCAGAAAATCTTGTTCCGCATCTGGAAAATTGGCTTGCCAAGCTGTTTGGAATCTGTTTATAATTTTGCCACACTTCGAGATACGTTTCTTACGAGGAAAACTAAATTGCTCGAAGTTTCGTCATCGATTACATTGAAATGTTGAATGAAAATTGCCTGGTGGTCATATTTAAGTTTAATTGCGCTGCACATGCGGCTTCAATCTTTTCCGGAGTTTGTCTGCCATGATTACTTAATAAACGGAAAGAGATAGTTATGATTTCTACAATATACGTTAATAACCTAGAAAGAATATAATAAGAAATCGATCGAGGACTGTGTGGAGCCTGCATTCCTGTACACAATGAACACACGCATACCACACTTACGCAACTTACAATTAACTTATTCACTAACAAAGCAAAATTAACACTTGATACAATTGATTTAAACACTCGAGTAAAATTAACAATGAATGGAATTCACAAACAGAAAAAATAAATATATAAAATGGCTTTAACACTGAAATGGACAGAAATGAAGCTTGCTTAGTCTCTTACAGAGCGAATTTAACTGAAAAAAGTTCATCCACATCAATAAGTTGATCTACACATTGGCAAGATTTGATTCCAAAACCAAAGAATTAGATTGTGGATTTCAGAAAGGACCACATTAACACAAAAATGGTGTAGAGTGTTCAAGATTATAACAAATCACTGCTGTTTAAGAAACACTGGAAAGTCAATAAGTATGTGCAATTGATTAGAATTAAGAAAAATTGTCAAACTCCGACATCCGGCCCGGAGTGACCAACTTGTACAGAGAAGGGGGAAGAATACTTGGAGGGAGCGGTGGGCGCGAGTTAGACTGAAATGCCCTTCTCTATTACCAAAAGTAAATTGAAACGCCGCACCGGGCCGCGAAGCCGTGCCGGTGGGGGAGGGAGTGCGCTGGTTAAGAGGGAGGCGGAGGATGACAAGTTACAAGAATTTCATTGCCACATACGTTCCATTTATCTGAATACTATTCTACGTTGGAAGGATTGATATGACAAAATTGAAAATATATTAATTTGTAACAGATTATTGGAATTAAATGAATGATACAACGATTGGCATTACACGTTCTTCATCACGTGAAGGGGACGTCGTGAAGTTGGTCGAACTACCGTCCATGGGCACACAGCGTTGACCGAATACCTTATGTTGGGGTCTGCGCATGCGTGGACCAGCAGTGCTCCTCTCCCCGGGCGAAGCGGGGGGAATGCAGGCGTCCCACACAGTCGCGGTTGCGTGTGAAGAGTATGACACCGCAACTTGAGCACGGACCGGGCCCTAGTGGCCTCCTTGACGCAAGAGTGTGCGGGCGGCACACACGTCTCTTCGCCAAGCAGGTAATTGAAGGTGTATTGAGTCGTTGGTGGTGTCCGTTACACTGCCTTATAGTGGCTGTCGTCGAGTGGATGAGAGTTAGCGCACTAACTCCTGAACAACGTGCCCAGAAGGCAAACGTTTTCCGGCGCCGAGCGCAAAACATGAAACTACGATTCTGTGAGCGCTGAGACTGCTCAATACGAAAAGGCCATGGATAGGACGGTGCGGCCTGTCTGCCTCTCTGCGGTCGTTCTCGCAAGTCTGCTCACAGTGAATGGCGTCAGCCAGAAGGCCTGCTGCCCTTAGAAACGGGAGGGGCGCCGTTCGGGGAGGGGCCGGCGGCGCGGGTGCCGGTGTGGGTGCGGGCGGGCGCACCCTGCGGGAGCCGCGCCCCGGGGGGGAGCGACCACCCGACTTTGCGCGAGCTTTGTGTCTAGTGGACGGAATAACAATATGGAACACCACTTCAAAATATTGGAAAAAAACCTACGGCTAACGCCACAGTCAGTATTTTTGTAATATGCTCTTAAAAAAATCTCCTAATGTTTACTGTAAAATTAATAGCAATGTAAATGCGCCTCATTACATCACCAAGCTGAAGACGTTGAAGTACGTGATTCAACGCAGACCGATTTACCAATAAATAAATTGCTCTTGAGTGAGTAAAACTATTTAGGAAAAGAGGTTTGGAACAAACTAGTTCGAACACGAAGTGATGGTGAAGAGAGCAAACAGGAAGTAAACTACGATTATTGGGGAAGAGAAACATCTGTGCTCTTAGAAGAGTTGGAACACGCACGCAAAGAACGATGGGAGGGCAGTGGAAGCAGGGTCAGCGGAACTCCAACAGCGAAGCAAAGGATTTGGAAGATTGCGGCTCAGAAAAAATCCCAGAATAGGTGCGACGATGAGAAGAGAGGGAAAGACTTAAAAAAAGTGGGGAATTCTGATAGAATTAAAACTACGAAAATAATTGAAAGTATACGTTTAGCGCAGTATTTCAATGGGAGAACGCAAATGATGATGTTGGCAGTGAATGGTTGAAACCGACGCGAATATATCAAAATTGGCGACTGATTCGATTCGGTCTCCAGCGGACTCAAAACAGGTGGCAGAGGTGGAAACTGAGGTCATAGTTCTATATCATCGGATGCGGCGAGCGTTTGGAATCGGTGCAGAATCTCTGCGTGTACAACCGTGTCGCAAGTAGAAGAGTTGTAGAGGAGAGAGGCCTCCCGAGACGAAAGATTACGTGCAAAGGTGCAAGTGTAGGTGACAAAGACTATTAATGACGCGTGGAGAGAGAAGAAGAAGACAGAAGAAGAAGAAGAAGAAGAAGAAGAAGAATAATGGAGATGGAGATTGGGAAAAAGAAGTGGAGAGGAAATTGGGCGGTTAGAAGCTTCAGCAAACGGTCGGAAGAACGGTGAGGAGAGAGGCGGCTGCGGAGGAGGATGAAAAGACTGCCTTAGGTAGACACGGGCATTGAAGGGGGACGGAGGACGGATAAGCTCAGAAGACCAGAAGGGGCGAAGAAACCTACGAAGCAGACACGTGAAAAGTGGCGGGCTGAGAGGAGTATGGAGGTAGCGTCGGCCGGGTTGCGCTCAATATTTCACGGCGAGGCGGGCCTTTGTTTGGGTCTGGATGATGCGGCCTAGCGGCGGTGCTGCTTGGTTGCGGGCCGCGGCCGGCCGTGCGCACGCGCAGAGGGCATCGCATATTCTGGGCCCGCCTGGCTCGCAGCTGAGCGCCGCCGCAGAATCACGGCGCGGACGCGGATGCCACGCCCACATTTCAGGCGGCGCCCCCGCCAGGATTACATAACGTCTTGCGCCCGCACGCGCCCGCCCGCGAGCGCTTCGAGGCGCGTATTGCAGACGACCATGTGGCAAAAACAACGCGGAGAAAAGATGTTGAGAAAATGCGGGGTATGTTAAAAGGAGAATCAGACAAACAAAAGTGACCATTGGAAAGGAGGACCCAACAGACCGGGAAGAAATGCAGAGCGCAAGGGCTGGAGCAGGAAAAATGTAATGTTAAGTAATATTAGACAACAATTGGTTTGTAAGCAGAGAACAAAGCTTTAGGTGTTCGAGATGTCTGAGGCGCCGATGGCTTCAAGGTAGGCTGATCGCGAATCCGATGCCAAAGTTTCAAAATGACTTCAAGGGCAATGCTCTTGTAGGGTTCAAGTAACTTTCACATTTCACGTATTCATCTTCCGGTTTGCGGTGCAAGAACTCTTACATTTTACTTCTATTATTTAAAAAACTTATGTTTTATTTTAATCAAGCAATTCCTGTGACTGATTTCATGTTGAAGGAGATCAACGGAGTTGAATATTTAGACATCAAAAAAACTCACGTTTTTTTTTTGGAGTCATGTGTTAAATTAACTTTTTTTACTTTACGGAGAACATTTCAAAATATAAGAGGAGGAAATAAATGAAGTTTTTTAAAAAAACAGGAAGACGAAAGGAGAAACAGTATAGAATACATGCGCTTAGAAAGTGTAGGAGGAAATTAAAGGAAGAAAACAAAAAGTAAAAGTGAAGGAAGAGAAAACAAAAACGGCGAGCAGAGACTATAATGGTATATAGACGGTGAGGGAATTGAAAAATTATTGATAGATGAAAAGGGAGGAAGCTGGGGTTACATCATAGAGGAATCGCTTTTATCTTCCATAATTGTTACAGTGAAACAAGGAGTGAGAATTGCGGAGAAAGAGCCAGGCCATGCTTCTACATCGCCATCGTCGCAGGCAATTCATGCGGAAGTATTGTTACCTGAGACGCTGGACTCAGCAAACGACTCGCAGCCTCCTAGGATGCACCGCAAGGCACGAGCGAAAGGCGCGGGCGAAGGCATGAGGGCGAGGGCGAGGGCGAGGGCGAGGGCGGAGGCGAGGGCGAGCGAGGGAGGGCGAGGGCGAGGGCGAGGGCGAGGCGAGGGCGAGGGCGAGCGAGGGCGAGGCGAGTGGCTGAGGCAGAGGGCGATGGCGAGGGCGAGGGCGAGGGCGAGGGGCGAGGCGAGGCGAGGCGAGGCGAGGCGAGGGCGAGGGCGAGGCGTGGGCGAGCCGGGCGAGGGCGCGGCGAGGGGCGGCGGTGCAGGGCCGCGGGCTGAGGCGCGGGCAGAGGCGCGGAGGAGGCGCGGGCGAGGGCGCGGCGAGCCCGGCGAGGCCGGCGAGGCCCGGCGAGGGCCCGGGCGAGGGCCCGGTAGAGGCCCGGGCGAGGCCGGGCGACGGCTCGCGCGGACGGAGTGCGGACGAGGAGTGCGGACGAGAGTGTACGACGAGAGTGCCGGTCGAAGAGGGGCGGGCCAAGGGCGAGGACAAAGGCGAAGGATACAGGGGTGGCAATGTCCAGGGGAAGGAAAACCCGGCCCAGGGAGAGAGAGGAGCGAGAAAGCCCGTGACCAACGGGTGCAAGGAGTGGGCGAAGCTGCTTTGTCGGTGCCATTTTACGCCGCCGCGTCAGAAGCTCGCTTCTGCTGTGCAGCGCTGACCACTGGCCGCGCGCTTCAGCAACTCCCTTTGAAGCGGCAGGCCGCGCCACAGTCTGAA